CCAAAAAAACTGTAAACACCAAAATATAAAACCTTAGCATTTGATTCGAGCATCAAAACTCCATTGTTCCTTGACTAAAACCATCCCCACAGTTGCTGATTCACATATTAGAAGTTGTTCTAACTTCTGTATTCATACTGCCATACACTCTCCATTCACCTCCACCTCAAAGAAGTCAAAACATCACCCTTGGGCTGTTCCAGAAATTAAAAACTTTCATGCTACTTAGTACGTGAAGAAGTGGCACAAAACATCACCAGAGTTTAGGACTAACCTCTAGTTCACAGAATCTTTTCAGCAGCAAGGTAAGCTTTTGCTGACTCTTATCACGTTACTTAAGCATTACCAGATTTGCATGTTCAAAAATACAATGTAGACATCATGTTTCTGATGTTGTACATATTCTGAGGCTTCACGTATTTATCTGCCTAAGTATGGAATAAATAAGTTCAGAACTTCTGGAAGAAATTAGAATTCAGAATTAGGATTAGAAAATTCAAGCTTGCCTCTGATTTATAGTTCTCATATTTCTTGTTTCTTAAATGCTATGAAACCTGTCATAACTGTTATATGTGCAACTTCTGTTCTGTTGAAAAATGACTAAGTTGCAGATGTTCTGACTAGCACGGGGAGGGAGACGAAGTTCTGTCAGTTGGCATCAGAACTTATGAAGACTTTTGTGTTGCAGCAGACCCAGAACTTATGACTTTCCCTCTTTCTACTAACGTTTGTTTCTGTTTGTGCAGCACGCCAGATTCAGAACTTCTGACCTCTTATGTTTCAGCATTTATGCGGATTCTGTTTTCTTTCCTTTTATCATTTTTTTGCCATCTCTTTTATTTTTCATCAATCATAAAAGACAAAAAAATATTTTCTTAAACAAAACTTATTTCTTTTCTTAAATAAATAAGCAATTAAAGTTTCTTGCACATTCTGATCCATTTCGATATGGTTGTAATAGTAACTTAGGATTTAATTTTACTTGCAACCCCCATTTATAAATATGTACCCCCATCCCCCTAATGATTGTAATAGCGTAGGATGTTTACTTTCTGCACTTTTATTGCTTTCATATATTGTTAGTAATTAGGGTGTGTATGACAAGATATGAAATCCACAAATAGATCACCCTAATCAAGACTAAAATGCATGCAATCAAACACACTTGCACACATTCACCCCTAGGGTAATCTCACTTGCTGCCTTTCGGAAAATAGTCATGTCCCTCGAACATGGGCATTTTAGCAAAGACTCTCGATAAGATATCGTAGTCCCTCAATGACCCACGATGTTTCCTTCGGTAAACGATCTAGTCCCTAAAATGATATTGCTAAAACGTTTCATGGGTTGCCTTCTATGACTATACAAACGTCTCAATGCCCGTCCCTTCACATCCAACGATGGGGCTTCTTACCAAATCAATGGTAAGATAGCAACATCTAAAGGAGGAGGAAACTCACATTTAAGACCTTTTGAGTAGGTAGATTCTCTCCTAGTTACTCGCTTGCTCACAAAAAAAACATTTTATACACTCATACTTCCATTTGAAACATTTTCAAAAGATAACACTTTGTACGCGTTCTTATAGAAACGAGAGCCATTACAAAGGAAACCCTTTTCAAAATCATTCAAAAACACATCTCTCAAACACCTCTTTGAACTATTTTTAATAAAAAAACTTTGTATGCATTCTTATAGAAATGAGAATCATTACAAAGTTACATTTTCAAAAGACTTTCAAAACCCACATCACAAGCACACATTCAAACAAAAGCAAGTGATCTAGCGAGTAACTAAGAGCCCATGGAAAACCATGGATGAAAAGGGTGCTAATACCTTCCCTTTTCATAATCTACCCCCCAAACTAAAAAAAAAATCTCTAAAGGTCTTTCATGTGCTTTTTCACCATTCGTTTTGGATAAAAGAAAAGTCGATGGTGACTCTTGCTAAACTGTAACATTTGTGAACACAAACGCAAAACTATCAAGTCAGTTCTCCCTCCGAATCACAGACAAGATAAACTTCAGTAAATGACGTTAAACGAGGGTAAAAGTGAAAGAAAGAAAAAGCAAATGTTGTATTTAAGGAAACAATAAAACAACGGAAAGATGGATGTAGACACATACATGTTTCTCACACATTGTTTCACTTTTTGACTTGAGTACTCCAATGGTATAAAGAGTATGTATGAAAATTTTCGACCCCGGTTACAGTGTATGAGTCTCCTATTTATTCTATTTACAATATAATCATCGATGACGGTTCCATCCACTATGGAACTATTGCGTTTTACTCCATGTTTGATCTTCAAATTCCCACTAGTTTGTTTATGTGTCACCCACGATTCTTTCTATTTACAACCCATAATGATTTACAACTTCTCCGAACTTCCCCGTGAACTTCTGATAATAATTTCCCAACATGATGTTGACGTTGCTACAATGGGATAAACTTGTAAAAATACTAAGTATTTAACCTTTTGTGGTTCACTCGACAAGTATATTTGTTATAGTGAATGTCTTGTCGACTGCCCTTTTCAAGATTCTATACATGTTTTCTAGGTGATCCTAATCTTGTAGATTTGTTCTTGAGATTCTTCCAAACAGTGTCTTCCTTCTTTGACACCTTGGTTGATACATTGTCGATGTTTTGTCATTAATGCACTTTAAAACACATCATTAATGTAAAACACTTCATTAGTGTCTTCTAAGAGAAAATGTCTTTTCATTTTGACATTTTTTGTTGACTTTCTTCTAGCTAAAAATCCAAGTGTAACAATATCTTTCTTTTCCACAAACAAAACACATTAGAATTTCCATTAAAGGTAAGAGGTTTGGAAATATAATTGTTCTTCTCATATGTATTGATTTCAGCATTGTTAACAACTTCATATTCAATCATGATGTTTTTCTCTTAGGATCTTTTATGTACCACTAATAAGTGTTGATGCACAAATCGTGCTCTGATGTCAACTAAAGGTGAGAAAAACACAAGAAGGGAGTTGAATTGTGTTTACTTTTTCTACTTTTCCTGAAGTTCTGTTATCAAATTCTGATGGATCAGAATCCGAATCATAATATGATGGATAGCACCAGAATAACTTAAGCAGAAGTAAATAATATAACAAGACAACACATAAGCAATTTATCTTGGTTCCTCCTATAAACCATGAGTAGTCCAGTCCCCTTGTACTTCCATGATATTTTCACTATAGCTGAGTTTGATTACAATTTGCTCAAGAACACAATCAAGAAACTTTTAATGCCCAAACACACAAGTAAGGGACTTCCAATGCTCAAGAACATAAGCAAGAGACTTCTGGTTGCTCAAGCACACAATCAAGAGACCTTACAAATTCTCAAGCACACAATCAAGGGACTTCACAAATGCTCAAGCACACAAGCAAGAGACTTCATAAATGCTTAAGCATGCAAGAAAAAGACTTCACTACTCAAGCACACATGCAAGAGACTTCACTTCTCAAGCACGCATTCAAGAGACTTAAAACAATCTATCTAACATATAAATGATAATGATAGAGAGATAGTTACACTTGATATTTAATCAGAGGTGTAAACAGATTACAACATATAAAACTCTAAGACTTAAGAACTTTAAGATGTACAATGGTAATAAGTTCTAAGCTAGCTTGTGCTCTTTGTTTTGACAGAGTAAATTCTATTTTCGTGTCAAGGTGAAATGTTGTATGCTTCTCCAAATCTTCAGCTTCTTTTATAGATTTCCATGAAATTGTCATTGGAGAAATCTTCAAGCACGGGAGAGACGTTGTAGAGAAGCATCAACAAATCTGTTGCAAAGCCTCGTCAAATGGATAATATTATGGTAAGCTTATTTGAATTTCCTTTGATACAAAATGAATTATCAGTTGCAAACAATCAAGCTTCTGTAACTTTCTACTGAGATATCACGAGACTAGAATATGACAAATTGACCTCAAAGTCTGACAGCAACATATCAAGACATCCTTGTTTCTTGAGTTTTGATTGGGTTTAGGTTCTGGTTCTTCAGAGTCTTTGTCTTGACTTCTGATGACTTCATGCTTTAACTCTTCATAGTGTGGCTTATTTAGAGCCTGAAGACATCGGATTTTGATCACCTTCAGAATCTGCCTCTTATAGAGCTTCTCTTTCAATGTTCATTGTCGTTTCAGAACTATTTTTAATCAGTATATTGATCTTTTTACCTGAACACTTGAATATACATTAGTTTATCCAATTGTTGTTCAAATAATTTGTTATAATCAAAACCTAAGGGATATGGTATACACCAATTTTGTTCCAACAAAGTTTGAGGAAGGTAAAGAATGGAACTTTACAACATTATATGCTAGTCCTAATGAGAACAAAAGAAGAGTGTTGTAGGAATACTTGAAGAAGATATCCAATAAGGTTAATGGTGTGTGGATGGTAGCTATATATTTTAATGACATTTCTAGTTCTTTGGAGAATAAATAAAGGGCTCAAGTTCCTATTAGAAAATGCAATACATTTAGGGAGAGGATTAACAACTATTACCCCTAAGTTTACATGGCGTGAACCCATTTATCATGGTGGACTAGGGAAAGAAATAGGTTAGGCCAACCTACAAGGTAATATAGCATAACCTATTTAACACCTAGTCATACTGACCTATTTAATAAAAGGGAAAATACCCTTTTTTGTCCCTTAACTTTGCCTCGGGGTCTATTTTGGTCCCTTATCTTTTAAAACATGCAAAAAAATCCCTTAAGTCTTAAAAACGAAGCACATAGATCCTTTCCATCCATTTACTACAAACAGATGTTTGTATCTGCATGTGTGGCATATGACAAGGCTTGTCTCCTTCATTTCCCATATTCTATTTCACTGAATCATTTTCTTTATCGTATCTAGGGTTAATATTTTTTTGCCCAAATTGAAGCACAGGGTTCAACATCAATGACATCAGGTTATGCTTCGTCCCTCATGAACCAGAAAAGCAAATAATCAAACAACTCCAGTATGTTTACGAGCTCTAATATTACATGGAAACCAACTTGCCACTATGGAGATTTGGCTATTCTTAGCAGGTCTTCAATGGCAAAGACCTATGAGAAACATTTTTGGGTTTGTACTTATTTTAAGGCATGTTTGTGAAATGTACAAGCTTTTTATCTCCATTGTTACTATTTGAGTAATACATCATAAATTGCAGGGAACAAGGTAACCTGGGTGTGGGTTTTTTGAATTGGTTTATAAGGAAGCTCAAGATGACAAATGGAAAATCGTAATGTATAGACTGGAAAAGATATTAAAGAAATTGGATAATGCAACAATGGAAATTGAAAAATTTAAGTTGACAAATAAAGAACTAAGGAAGGAGATGAACAAAATTCTAAATTTGAAAAATTGTTGTATTATGTTTGTTATTTTAGGTGCAACAATTCTGCTATGGTTTATGATGAATTGTAATGTTTAAGTTGCAGTGTAATGATTTAGATTTAGTTTTAAGTTGTAATGAAGTGTTGTAATGTTCCAAATATCAGTTAAGTTGTAATGAAATGTTGTAATGTTGATCATTTTGTAATAAAATGTTAAGAGGTATCATGAATTTCTTTGTCATCAAGTTACAAGGCTGTTTCTCGCTCGGATTCATCAGAGCCTGGATTAGGGTTTATTTCCCTATTTGTTGGTCGAGATGCTAGGGTTTTGGGTCCTTGATTTTTGTGAAGATGTTTCTTTCGCCTGCCTCAAAGATGACTCAAAGCTCAGTGCATTAGGTCAAGGATTTCATCTCCTCGCATTTCAAGATTTCTTCTTAAAGTCTCTAAGTCACTGAGTCGAGAGTGTGAAATTTAAGGCGACGAATGTGGAATATGAACACAAGAAATAAGGTTGGGGGTTCATGACGATCAAGGCGTGTTTTGTTGCTTAAGTTACAAGTTATTGTGATTTGAATATCAAAATTAAGGTTATGGTTGAGAGTGCAAGTTTGGTTTAGACGTGATATGAAGATTAAGGTTTAGGTGACCATTGTTTTGGGATTGAATTAACCAAGTGGAATTAAATTCTTAAGCATTTTTTTGTTTGTTCAAGAGTTTGATTGGAGTTTGGAAGATAAGGCGCATGATTGCTTGAAGTACAAGTTACTAAATTCATGTTGGATTTCTTGAAATTCAAGTTATAAAGGCAAGACGTGCATTCAAATCATTCAAGTGGAAATTGCTACTTTCAATCAAAGTTCAAGAGTTTGTTTGATTTCCATACAACAAATTCATTCAAAAATATATCATTCAAGCTTTCGTGTTCATTACATTTTTGGGACAAATTACAGAGCATGTGAAATCATAAATTACAATTATTGAAATACAAGCTGCAAATCTTTTATTTACAAGGAAAATGTTTGTTTCTTCAAATCTCTTTGCTTCATCTTTAAGCCACTCAGCCCCTTCTTGCCATGCCCTTTTCATCTTACAACCCCGCTTGCCATCCAATACTCGTGCTCATGAAACAAGGAAAAGAGAAAGTTAGCAACAATCAACATGTGAAAAATTCAAGCACGAATTAATTGTTAAGAGGACTCTTTGTATCTCATCATCAGGATTTGCACTTGGAATCAGAAATTGAAAAGGGTTTTGTTTCAACTATAGGCTATATCCTCCTATTCTGCAAATCACAAAAAGGTTTTTGGTTCACAAAAGGAAAAGAGGTTTGCAAATGTGTTCTTACTGAAAAAACAAGCCAAAACTGCCCAAGGTAGCAAAACAACAACATCAAAATAAATACAAGCAAGCAAACTGTCCAACAAAAGCAATGTCAAGACTGCTAAATAGCACAAGGTAAGTCAAAACTGCCCAAGGCAGAAAAATAGCAATGCAGCACCCAAGACATACAAAAACAGCAGTAGCAGAACAAGGCAACATAGGCAAAACCAGCAAGCAAGCTGCAATATAGTAGCAAATATAACAGCAGCTGCAAGCTGCCAAATAAAGCCCAAAACTAGCAAATATACAACAACAAAATTTCACAAAACAGTGCAAGCTAACACTAGCTCACATAGCCCTATATCATCACTTTCCTAAATAGTGCAAAACCTTCATAAATTATTGAATAAAAGCAAGTTTGCTTTACATCATTGAAAGATGAAAGAGGAAAAGATATCACCTGCACTACTGCCCTTAATCTGCCAAAACTTGTTGCATAAACAACCAAAACAGAACAAGCCAAAACCAAAACCTGCTACATACCCTACAAAATGCTATAACATAATTTGATTCTACAACCCTTGGTTAAGAGTTTTTATTATAACAAATACAAAGAATAAATAATAAAAACAAAGAACAAATATGCACCTTAAAATTATGTTTTATGTATGCAGAAGTTCTGATCATATCAGCATCAGAAGATAAGCCATAAGGGCTTCACGCTGAAGCAATCAGAACATGAAAATTGATGACCAGACCCTGCGCTTAAGTAACGTAAAACTCTGATTCTGAGCAAGAACATACCAATCCAAGTCATCAGTATTTTGAAGCGTCATCAACATGTAAGGAGATAAGATTATGAAGCGTTACTGATCATTCAAATCAGCTTCAATTCCAACGGCTTATTTCAGACAGGATCTTCTCCAAATGGAAAGTGGGTTAATGACATTAAACATGCTTTATGATCAACGTCATTCCACTGCCTATATAAACAAAGTCAGCTTACAAAATCAAGCACGATTTTTCCATATTACCACTCACGCATATTCATAGCTGCAAGCAACATTATCTATATTTCCAAGCTATAATCCTGTGTAATTTATCACAGTTGTGATAAAAAGTTTTTGTTATAAAAACAACAACACACATCTTGTATAATTTTATTGAAACAGTGTTCCTTGAGATTAACCGAACTATGGTTGTACTCATGAAGACTTTAACAGTTGTTAAAGTAGATTTTGTAATCTTGTTGAGATTAGTGAATTAAGACCTCGTTGGAGAGAGGAGAAATCACCTTGACGGGTGGACTGGAGTAGTTTGAGATCAAACGAACCAGGATAAAAATACTGTGTCATTGAGAAGTTATATTTCAAGTTTTCAATTCAACCCCCCCTTCTTGTGTTTTTCACATCTTCAATTGGCATCAGAGCACCTGGTTCTGAGCTTAAACACTTAACCGTGTCTGTTGTACCCCAAAATTTTCCCTCCCATATTTCTCAAAACATTGCAAGAAAAATCTCCAAATGGCTCAAGGTAGCTCAAGAGTTGGTCAGACAAGCTATCTCCTAAGGCAGTCTACCCCATATTAGGGTTTTGTGTTGCATCAAGATCCTTGATTCCAAATGATCCCAAGTGATCCCCAATGTCCTAATATGTTCTCAATATCATCCATGTCAAATTTCAAGCCTTGCAAAGGAAGTTTGCTCAGTCAATTGCCCAAAGGTCCACAAATCGACTATGCTAGGGCAAATGTCAATTATGACCCAAATACAGTCAAACTTCAAGATTTTTTGTCAACATTCTCATTTTGAAGGTTATTTCATCATTTGATCAAGGGTTGATCATTATTCATCAAGGATTGCTCAAAATTCATCAAGACTCAAAAGTTGCTAAACTAGGGTTTTGTAGGAAAAGTCAACTCAACTTTGACCAAGCATAACTTTCTCATACTTTATGATAAATGACCCATCCAAAGCTCATTTTTAATAGGATGCAATTTACTACAATCCATCTTCACATCCCAATATAAAAAAATGCACTCACAAGAAGTTATGAATTTGGACATTATAGGTCATTTTTGAAGATCAACAAAAACACATTTTTTTCCCAAAGCTTATAACTTGAGCATGGAATATCAAAATGAGATGATACCAAATGGGTTGGTTATAGGACATATCAAGATTTCTAAAAAGTCCAAGAATACCTCCAAAAGTTCAAAATTGAAGAAGTTATGCATTGTTGAAGTTGGACATTTTTGCAAAATTGCCAAAAGTCAACTATCCCCAAAACTTCAAATTTTGTCAAATGGGCCCATTCTTTTCCACTTGATTTGATCTTGCATAGTTGCCCACGTGTCCTATCTTCAGCCATGAGCCCATATTTCATTTTTATTATTTAATTTGATTTTTAATTGAATTTATTCATTTTAAATCAAATCAAATCATATAAAATCCAAAACATTGATAACATACGATTTTTTGGCTGTTTCAGGTTTTGATTACCATCATTATCATCATCAAATTCGAATCAAACAAAATCATGTGCAAAAAGATTGAAATTGGACAAATTTGGAAAGGTTTAAAGTGGAGATCAAATCAAATATGCAAGCATTGATAGGAGAAGATTTGGATCAGTTTTGTTGACCTAATACAAAGCACATTACATAAGCAAGCCAAGGTATACGAAACAAGGGTTGGAAAGTGCAGAGAGAGGCAGAACAAGATTAGAAAAATTCACAAAAAGCTTGAGATCGAAATCATAGTTAGAGGTGTTTTCAAGAGCTGAGACGTATCTCAATCGCTTCTTGGGCATTCACTCAAGCCACATGGATCCAAAGCAAGCTTGTTCAGACGTCCAAACGCGCTGTAAGTGTCACAATAACCACCCCTGTTCTTGATTTCGCAACTCTGAATTTAAGCATCCTTTTCATGAATCAATACCATATTTTGAATCTACATAACATTTGCAAGCAATTGGTATTATTCAATTGCGTTTATCTGGCCTGAATGAAGAACCACCATAGCTAGGGTTCTTCGTTTGTTTTTTAGGGTTTTCTGTTTCAGGAAAAACTGTGACTCAAGAAAGGCATGATGTTGATTAGGAAGCCAAGACGAGTTCAACCATGCTCGTGGAATATGTTTTCATGGCCTGGAATGAATTTTAGAACAGGCTTGCGCATTTAGCTATGGATTCAAATCCGCAGGTATTTTTACATGTTTTGGAGGACAGGGATGAACTCGTGTCATCCGCCTGTTGGCCAGTTCAAATTATTTCGCGCATTTTTTTATTTTGCTGGCATTCATGTTGTTTTGATATATTATTATTAATTCTTATTATACTAACAAACAACCATCATAGCGTAGTGGCAAGGCAAGCGTACATTATCCTTCAGGACCTGGGTTCGAATCCCAGGTCCCCACTTCCTTAATAATTTTGTTTTTCAGATAATCATGTGTTTGCTCAAGCGTGCAGCCTACCGTGTGCCATCACCTATCTAATTTCCAGATGGCCAAAGGCAAAATCTGAGAGTCCAAGCTGAAGGTCCACCATAGGCATTGGTCAATACATGCACATTAGATCTGCA